ATGGTCATTCAATATCAATTTAAATTTAGGATATTTAGTATAATTCGCTACCCGGATTCGAACCGGGACCTTTGAATGAGAGGCCAACACCTTAACCTCTAGGCCACGAGAGCCCCCATAAATTTTTATCTGTCATAGATGGTTAAAACATGATACAAAATAAGCAATACAATTTTTCTATTCCACAAGCACATGACAAAAATGTCTACATTCTAAATTTATTACATTTGTCATGTGCTTAGCCTTATTCCCCACATCCATAAACCTAAGGGAAAAAAATAAAATCATGCACATATTGCTAATAGTATGGTGATTATGACTTTAAAAAATATATTATGCAAACTATTATTGGCCATAAACAGAGGACTGCTTCTGATTTGAGAGATCTTCATTTATTACAGGGGGACGTTAAATGAGACTGACGTTTTACAGAGGTTTTTCTAGCTGTGAGGATCCGGGGAATTTTACCGTAAAGGACAAAACACCTTTTAAGTACAGAATATATTATTAAGGACATCACTGAGGCCTCGAAATGCTTTAAAAATCGATGCTGCTCAATATATGTTGTATCCTGTCTGAAGGCAATAATAGGAATATATATATATATGAATATGAGCAGATCAATATTCGAGATCTGATGACCATTTTGGAAGACCATCTGCATGAGATGAATGGCACAGTATATATTCTGGACCACAGTACCTGAAAAAGAAACAACTGACGGGGTGCAAGGAAAAGCATAACATAAAAGCGGAGGTTGGTGGGGAGTATGTGTTGTTACATTTAATTAAGTAATCGGCTTCTTCAATTTTATACGAATACGAGAATTTTATGAAACACCAAAGGGCATTAAATGATTAAGGATGCCAGGCAGAAGCAAATTGTCAAGGTAGCTCGTCAATTGATTTAAAAAATCTATATTTGATAAAGAAGTCTATCCAACAGTTAATCTAGATCTAGATCTAGCTGGAATATTTATGGAGCAGAACATGTGCTAACTTGGTGGCCTCTAGGAGTCTAGGTGCTGTTTCTTGAAACTGTCAATATGTACTACAGTTCACATCTACCCAATATTGATCGGAATAAGAATAAGACAACGTCATAAAAAAAGGAATCAAATTCAAATCCAAGGAGTTTTTTAAATCCAAAAACTGAGAAAGCTTCCACTCCACAATTCAGGCAGAACTACAGTATTATCATGTAGAAACGAAGGCTACTAGATCTACATCTAGAATCTAGATCTAATTCTAGTACAAGACTTCTAGATTCTAGTACTAAATCTAGATTCTAGATATCTATCTTATAACATCTTATATAATGCCAAGAGCCAAGAGCATTATAATTCATAAATTTCTGAATGCGTAGCTTTTTATTTGATCTAATGAGCCTACCCATGTCCATGTTTTCAGCAATTCAATCAATCAATGAAAGTGAAAATCACTGTGAAAATCGCCTTCTTGAAACTGAAAGTTACTGAAGAAAGGACTTCAAAGTCTTCTGTTCGTCGAAAATACTTCTTGCGACTGAGCTGGCCTACACAGAGGGTTGTTCTTTTATTCCGGGCTTCCTGTTTGGCTGTTCGGCTCGGCAAAAAAGCAGGTCGTCAAATACTTCCCAAAATAGATCTTGTGTCATCCTCGTGAAGAACCGGAATATTCTGTCATAGAGAAAAATGACGGTGTTTTTCGTGTCGCTGCGGAGCAACTCCGTTTGCTCACACGCTGTTACTGGTCTACGGGATTTCCCGTTGTTAAAAAGCGCCCGATCTCGTAAAGATTTCCTTTCCAAATAATTAATTACTGCTTTTTTTCATTGTGAGAATTTCAAAAACAATGCATTTGTTCGTATTTTTTAAACCAGCAACAGATTAACCCAAGACGGATTGGTTTGACTTGTGTGGTTCCACGGCTGGCCTCGTTGACAAGTTACAAACAACTACAACACATGTGATGACAAGCCTAGGGCCCAAGGCTAGATCTATATATCTAGGTCTAGATCTACATCTAGATCTAGATCTCTAGACAGTCTAGAACAACATGATTTGATTTTGAGTCGAGTCCATTAAAATTATGTACTTTCTTTAGATATCAGGGTCTGGTCTGTGCGATCGGGTCTTATAGATCTAACTGAAAAGCTTATGTCGCGGCTTTTTTTCTTCTTCAAAATTGTCTTTCTTTCTTACTTTCTAAAATCGAAGTGACTATTTCTCCGAACGTTCGGAGAAATAGTGCCGATCTTTATTTCTCCGAACGGTTTTCGGCTTCCGGTCTCGTGATTTTTTGCCTATTTATTGCGAGAGTTCGGCGCCAACTTTCATTCTGC